ACTGTAATGAATTTACCTATCACCATCAGAAAGGGCAAGGTTTTGTAAGTAACAGGTATAAAATTCCTCATTTTTGATTAGGTTGGCTTAGAATGAATTTGAAAAATGCATTCATGTATCAACAAAAAACTATCGATCATCTATTTCTGGAAGGGAAAAATTTCTTCCACTTCTGTAAAGAATACACAGAGCAGCCATAAAGTTTGTGTGCAATTTTAAATAGTGTGCAATTTTAAATTGCACATGAACTTTATGGCCACCCTGTATGTAATTTTTACAAATATTTTATTTAACTCTAGCTATTCTACTTAATAGCTTAGAATTAATTCAGTCCACAAATTGACCTAAAGAACTATTTATAAATATATTTGCTTGTTCACATTTTCATAATTTTCTGAGCTAATTGAATTAATTGTCTTTTAATTGAGGAATAAATGTTCCATTTACCAATCAAAATCAGTTTTGTATCAATAAAGCTAAAAAATCCATTATTCAAAAAATTGCTTTGAATAATAATTAGTAAAAATGATCAGGCATCATTAGCTCTGTATGCCTGAAAGAAAAATTAAGCAATGCATTTAAACTATCTTTTATTAATTTATCTGACTGTCATAGCATGCTAAAAAGCTTAATTTATTACAATATTACATATCATAATTTTTTACAGTATAGGAGGAGAATATAGATTTACTTGTGTTATTTGTTGCATTTTTACTTTAAGGAGACAAGGTTACAAATTAAAGTGATATTTTTATCTAGACACACATTTGGTTGTGTGTATGTGTATGGTTAATTGATGTTTCTCTCTCCCCTCTCTCTCATACACTTCTCTACCTCTATTTATGGAGTAAGAATATTTAGTTTTGAAAAACCATAACCATTTAGAATATGGATTTCATTCTTTTCAAATCTTAGAATTTCACCTTCATGTTGCCATAGTATTCAAACCAAATGATCTGACTGACATTTTATACTATGACTTTCAAGCTTCTGAATATGTGAAAGATGATAATATATAGTAATTATATAATTAATAATATTAGTTAACATTATTGACACAATTAATTTAATTTTTCTAGACTGAAACAATAAAAATTTAGTTTTAATATACAAAATGACTTGGGAAACCATTTCAAAACTCTTTACATGAAAAGAATAATTAATTCCTTTGAAAGTTTACAGTTTAAATTATATAAGTAAACAAAACAAAAGAAACAAGGTTAAGGAACAAAATTGCTCCTCATCCCAAAGATACAAAATGATAGCAATGATTCTTTTTCCCCCCATGATTTAATGTTTATTTTTAGCACATATTAAAATTCACACGCAACCACTCAGATAGGGGTCTGGAGAGAAGGCAACTCCACCTGTACAGTCTTGGACTCAAAAATGGGATGAATTTCCTAGAGGGCAAATGAGAAAAATCTGTGAATGCTGAAAAATGCATTCTAAATACTAATAGTTCCCTGGTGGTCTAGTGGCTAGGATTTGGCACTTTCCAAATACTAACTAAAATCATGTCCTATAACCACCAGTGATACCTATTGTAATGTTGAAAAAGTTGAGTAATAGTGATAATAATAATTATTATTATTTTTGAGACAGAGTCTCACTCTTCACTGAAGCTGAAACACAGTGGTGTGATTATAGTTCCCAAGCAGCCTTTAACTTCTGAGCTCAAGGCTTCCTCTTTCAACCCCCTGAACAGCCTTGACTATAGGTGCATACCACTATGCCCTGCTTATTTTTAAAAATTTTTAGAGTTGGTCTTAAACTCTGGGACTCAGTGATGTCTTCCACCTCAGCATCTGGAGTAACTGGGATTAGAGATACAATGGCAGCAATAATTTCTTAAACCAGGATTTCTTTATCTCAAGTCTCTGTACTCACTTATCCATGTGTGCTGCATCAATGAGATAGGTCCAAGGTAGTTTAAAGTTACAACAGAGACAGTGTCAGCCTAAGGTCAAGGAGTCAGAGGGCTGTGGCAACTCGAGAAAGATAATTTAAATAGTTTATAAAACAAGGGACTGCATATATTTACAAGGTAGGAAGAAGATAGTCCAGTTCAACAAGGCTTGGCAAAGACTGGATTAGGTCATTGCCAATTTGGTGGGGTTTTGTTTGTTAGTTTTTTGGGTTTTTTTTTTTTTTTTTGCCTAAAATCTTTATTTTTCATGTATCCAATGTGCTGGTGTTATTGTATGTCATTGGGTCCTTTGCATATAAATGCTTGTATGGTGGACACAGCAATTTAATGAGCTACTAACATTGCCTTTCACCAGGTCCCTGAATGAGACCACTTATGTGTGGGATAACCCTGCAAGAAATGGGTTCTGTCTACCACCTAAACTTTATACCATTAGGATAGTCACAAAATCATACCATGATTAAAAACAGCATCTGTAATCAATGACTGAGAAAATTGTACACAAGATCAAAGACCTTAATGTCTTTATAGTTTTGAATGAAATTATTCTGAAACTATCTGTACCCTAAAGAGGTCTACAGTCTTGTATATGTACAAAAATGATGTGTTTGTGCATTTTTCTGCTAATGAAAGAGGGAATTAGAAGCTCTATGCTCTCTGTCTCATTAAGAGTTTTGAAAGTTTGTGCAAAGTTTTAAAATGTTGAACACTAAAATATTGCTTTTATGCTCAGTTTATAACAACTCTCAACCTGCAAACTCTTTCAAATGAAGTTGTATTCACTTTTGTGTGTTCAATCATTTTGACTGTTTTGCTCAAGAAAGAAAATTTATTTTATAAAATACTCAAAAAATCTTAAAAAGAAAGGCCAAATATTAATTTAGGTTTTTTTGAAAAAAGTTTTCCAAATCTTTTTGAAGCTTGCCTGTGATTAGTAATAATGTTCCATAGAGATGAAACCATTTAAAAATTATTTCCTTGTCTTTTGCATCACCTTACTACTTGTTATAGTTATTGCTATTCTCTCTCGGCCTTTATCAATATCAAACATATTCTGATGCTTCTTTTTTTTCCAAATTCATCTGGCCCCTCTAGGTCTCCATGGCTGTATATTATTATTTATTTACTTTAATTTACTTTTATTTTATTTTATTTTATTGAGACAGATCTCACTGTGTCACCCTGGGTAGAGTGCTGTGGCATCATAGCTTACAGCAACCTTAAACTTTTGGGTTCAAGAAATCTTGCTTCAGTTTCCTAAGGTGCCTGCCACAATATCGGGCGAGTTATTCTATTTTTTGTAGAGCTGGAGTTTCATTCTTGCTCAGGCTGGTCTCAAACTCCTGAGCTCAGGCTATTCATTCACTTCAACCTCCCAGAGTGCTAGGAATTCAGGTCTGAGCCACCATACTTGGCCTCCATGACTACATATTGTATGTAAAATGTTGTGTAAGGCATGTCTACAAGCCCAGTAAGCTTGGGAAGAAACTTTGCAATGTATTTTTTTTAAATTACAGTGGGCAGATGCCAAAGGTTTCAAAGCAGGAGGAGATGAATGAGAGTCCCTGCACTTTAAAAGCCAGCCAAATAAAAAGTGATTTAGTGAGAGGGAAAAAAAATTATAAATTATATGGAATACTATTATTGTTGTTGTTCAAAGAAAGAATTTTGTTTTATTTATACTCATATATTTCATTCTCTGGTTCTTGGAACCCACATAAAACAGTTGTAACTTCTTGTTTATTTTTGAAAGGGCCTAATTTGAATATGTTTCAGTTTCAAAAAGTAAGCTATAAATCATCTGTAACTTAAACAAACCCAAATGACTAGTTTCTATATCAACATTTATTCTGTCAACTATTTTTTATTTCAATATGAATAACAAAACTACAATAAGTATTATAAAAATAATAAAAGTAATTTTTTATCATTATTTAATCTTTAACATTCCCCTCCACTGAGGGTACATACACTGTTTGCCTTTGTAAAGTTTAACCTGTAATTGTGTCCTTCACGTAGGAAGTATGCCGTATACCCACACACTGAGAAGGAACCCACTGACCCCCTTTCCTTCTCCCCACTTGGATTTAACGGAGTTGTTTTTCTTATGTAAGCACATTGTTAATCTACAAGTTTCAAATTAGTATAGAGTACACCCAGTGTTTATGTTTCTATTCTTATGACACTCAGGAGAGTGTTCTCTAAATCCATCCCAGTTGTAACAAAGGATACAAAATCTCCATCTTATAGTTGCATAGTATCCCGTGGTATACAAAACAGTTTTTTAATGCATTCTTGTGTTGAAGGGCACTTGTTTCCACATGTTTGCAATTGTAAATTGGACTACTATAACTATAACCATATACCCTTATGGTAAACTGATCTTTTTTTCTTTGGGGTAGATACCTCGTAATAGAATTGCAGGATCAAGTGGAAGGTCTACTTTTAGTTTTTTGAGGATTCTTCATACTTCTTTCCATAAAAGCTGAACTAGTTCACATTCCTAACAGTGCAGGAATGTTCTATTCTCTCTGCACCCATGCTAATATCTGTTTGGGAGGTATTTTTTGATGTAGGCCATTCCCAGTGGGGTTAGGTGATATCTCAAAGTGATTTTGATTTGCATTTTTCTGATAACTAGAGATGGTGAGCATTTTTAGATTTTTTGGCCATTTGTCCTCATGAGAAAAGATTCTGTTCATGTCTCTGATTCAGATTTTAATAAGGTTGTTTGGTCCTTTTGTTGTTGATTTGCTTCAGTTTTTTGTAGATTCTGATTATTAGTCCTTCATCAGATTTGTAGCATGATTTGTTTTGGTCTACAAATATATTCCTGTGGGAAATACATAATTGACTTCAGTTAAAACATTGAAAAGTTTTTAAAAAGCATTAAAAAGTTGATTTAGAGTGCCAGACCAAGAAAAGTAATACTAACTGAAAGGTAGGGCTTTGAATCAGGACCTTGTATTCCAATATTTTTAATGATGCTTACAGTGAAACCAATATTTTTAATGATAAAAGCCCTTTCCTTCTTCATGTTTCCATTTGCAGTGTCACACTGGTAGAAATTATGGAGAAGAGAAACAGCACCTCAGACTTCATTCTCCTGGGACTCTTTAAACACACAAGCCCCCACCTTTTTCTTTTTGCTATGGTGCTGACAATAGCCATTACTTCTCTCATGGGCAATGCCCTCATGCTTCTCCTGATTCACCAAGATCACCGGCTCCACACACCCATGTACTTTCTACTGAGCCAACTCTCCTTCATGGATGTGATGCTGGTTTCCACCATTGTGCCCAGAATGACTACTGGCTTTCTAACTGGCAAGAAGTCTATCTCCCCTGCTGGTTGTGGGTTACAGATTTTTGTCTCACTCACTCTGGGTGGTGGAGAAAGTTTTCTCTTAGCAGCAATGTCATATGACCGCTGTGTGGCTGTATGCCACCCCCTGAGATACCCAGTCCTCATGAGCCGGCAGTTATGCCTGAGAATGACTTTGGGGTCTTGGTCCCTGGGGGCAGCTGATGGGCTCATACAGGCAGTTATTACCCTGAGCTTCCCATATTGCAGTACACGGGAGATCGATCACTTCTTCTGTGAGGCTCCCATGCTGGTGCGTTTGGCTTGCACTGATACATCTGTCTTTGAGAATGTCATGTACATCTGCTGTGTGCTAATGCTCCTGATCCCCTTATCCCTCATCCTGACCTCCTACAGTCTCATCCTTGCTGCTGTTCTCTGCATGCGTTCCACAGAAGCCCTCAGGAAGGCCTTTACTACCTGCTCTTCTCATTTGGCTGTGGTGGGACTCTTTTATGGAGCTGCCATTTTTATCTACATGAGACCCAAATCCTACAGGTCAGCAACCTCTGATAAGGTGGTGTCAGCCTTCTATACTATCTTCACCCCTATGCTGAACCCCCTAATCTACAGTCTGAGGAACAGAGAGGTCAAGGGAGCTTTGGAAAAGTGGCTAGGGAAATGTGTAAACATAAAAACACAGAAAACATAGCCCCACTATTCATGGTGACTTAGCAAATCAGTCTATGTTTCTGAATTTATTAACATTTTAAATATATTGTAATTCTCTCTCCTTTAGTAAAGCATGAGGAGAAAGTTAACTTCATTTATCTGTATAATAAGAAGGTGTTAAGAATTAAATGAGCCAATTGTGTTGAAAAATAATAATTTTTGAGAATTTATTTGCTATACTCCATTTTAAGAGATTTTAAGTGATTTCTGTAGATTACTTTGTCTCCTATAAAAGCCACATGGTATAAGCCTATTGAAATCATTTCCCACCTTCTAAACGAGCAAATGACAGCATAGTATATTAAATATTGTTCCCAATATCACGAGGTGGATAAATATTAAAATGTAACTCCAGAGTTCATACCCTAACCTGGAATATTTTATTTCTGATCAGTGATCTATCTTGAATGCTGTTTCTTACATGCATGTTCTACAGAGTTTTAATAACAAAAGAGAGGAGCTCCTCTGAGTGAAAATAAAAACACTACTCTTTCACTGTATTTTAAAATGTAGACCTGTGACAGAAAGGGAAGGAAACAACTCAAGTGTAAGTGCTATACTGTCACTACCTTTTGTTTTTTTCTGGCTTTTGTATAGTCTGGTTTTATTTTATGTTTAAAGATGACCATTTTTAATTTATATAACTTCATTTAAGCAACATGTATATTTTCCCAGGCTCTAGTTGAAATTGCAATGGAAAATTGTTTTAAAGTATATTACAATAAACTCTATTTATTCCATGTAACCAACTATATACATGATAGTCTAAGATCATATGGACTTATTGTGGACTCACATCCACGGATATGAATTTCTGGCATACAAAATCATGCTGATACTTAACAGAATAGTTGGTGATACAAGTTATCAAAACTATGTGAGACCCAATAATCTATTAAGTTGTATGGTTTATCTTACTTCTAAAAATATGTATATAACTAAATATATTTCTTTCTTTCTTTTTTAATTGAATGGCAACTGTGTACATTAATGCACTTCTGGGGTACAGTGTGGTGTTTTCACACACAATCTGAAACTCTAAATATATTTCTTATAAAAATATAGAATACTCATCAAGGGTTTAGGAACATTTGAGAAAATGAAGATACAGGACTTTATTCTGTTAGATAAGGGCATAAGCTAGGTAGAAATGGTAGAAAGCTGTGGTTATCAAAGCCAAATAGTAATCACAGTCTAGATAACAAATTATCTTGGAGAATTTTACTAAATTTACTGTAGGTAGAACACACTGAAGAAATAAAATAGGTTTTAAACATACAGTGACCTGGAAATAACTAGGGGCCCCCAGGGACAATGTATTTCAATATCAGTGTCTATGAGTTAAAACACCATTTCAAATCCACTTCAATTTTAAGAAAGACAGATTTTAGAACAGTAAATGAACTTTTCTGCTTCATTATATAGCAATGCATTTTGGACAGTACCTTATCCAGTGCATGGAGAGCCTGGAGAGATGTCCAGAGAGAAGTAATTCTTTTCTGTGGGGAGGAATCAGGAATGTCAGGAGAATAGAGCAGTTACTTGTCCAAAAGTCTACTACTCTTGTTAGTTTATGACCTCACCCAAGATTAAAGTTAAAAAGAGAAAATAATTGCTTAAATTCTGCCATTTATGCCATCCAAAAATCTCTTAGTATGGATGAAATTACCAGAGGTAAATATAGTTGTGGAAATTTTATTACTAATTTCAGATATATTCACCATTAGAAAAGTATATTTTAGAAGACATTGAACTAAAAATGGTATATTAAGTCCAGAAATTTTGGTAAGAATAAAATAGTTCAACAAGTCAATTAATGAATATTATTTACAAGAGTAAATGCAAACAAATAGCCAAAAAATAAAAAATAAATCAAACACAGAGTGGACATTATCTCCAAGCAAATGTAAAACATTAGAAAATATTGACCAAATACTTACAAAAATAGGAATACATTTTAGAGAAATGATATCATAGGCCAGTTATCTAACCACCCCAAGATTAAATAAAAAAATAAAAATTTCAAAAGCATTTTAGTAATGATATGAGTTCAATCCTTTATTGTTTTTGTTGTTTGGGGAACTTTCTACTCTTATCTTCTTAATTAAAGTTTGCATAGAAAATCATCAAGAAAATAGTTACAGTGTAGAAGTGTAGAAACATAACTTTCAGTGCAGTGTAGAAACATAATCCTTTCTTTTGATATTAGTAACTAGGAAGACAAAGCCCAATAAAATGAACAACAATGTCAGGAGGTAACAGTAGTGTAGGTAGTAGAGGTCAGTAGTGAGTGGTTGATGAGGTGGTTGTACCAACAGTGCCCTGTGTTCCTCAACCAAGGAATCTTTCTCAGGAATCCACTCCACAGATAAACACATAAAGGTATACTAAAAATCTCCACTTGGCTCTAGCAGCGGTTCTCAACCTGTGGGTGGTGACTCCTTTGTTCAATTGGTAACAATGCAGGCATTACGAAGGTTGAGAACCACTGCTAGAGCCAAGGAATCCTCAGAAGGGTCCTTCTTTCAGCCTCTACTGCCTCAGTCACCCAATAGCTGTGGCACTTTGGACACTTAAGCCCATAATTTAACCCTTAATAGAGTCTTCTTATGTGCATAAAGTTTTAGTTTTATGCTCATTAATTCATCAATCTTTTTTTTTCAAGTGTGCAAAAGGGCAAAATTTATAATGACTACATTCTGGAGAAGGAACACATCTCAGTTTCAAGTGGAGAAGACCCAGGGATTAGTAAGATGTTTCCCCTTACATGGATTTTCCAATTCTAGGTTAGTGGTGTGGGGGCAAAATATTCATGATATTTCTTTGAAATGGGGAAACAGTCCAGAATGGAGAGTCCTCTCATTTCTATTCCTGTAATCAACAGACACTATTTGTCATTGAAATTGTAGAGTATGATACAACTGGGGTAAATTGTACTATGTTAATGAAAATAGATCACTTGAGGGTGGTGCCTATGGCTCAAAGGAGTAAGGCACTGGCCCCATATGCCAGAGGTGGCGGGTTCAAACTCCCACCCCTGGCCAAAAACTGCAAAAATAAAAAAATAAAATAAAATAAAATAATAAGAAAATTAAAATGAATTATTTGATGTACAAAAAGGGTGGAGTACAGCATAAATGTCTTGCCACATTCTTCATACTTTTAGAGTTTCTCTCCACAAGAAATTCTTTGATGTTTACTGTGAGTTGAACTGAGTTAAAAAAGGATCCACCACATTATTTAAATTTGTCAAGCTTATGTCCATCCTTTCTTTGATGTTCAGAAAGAAAGGTTTGAGTGCTGGTTAAAGGCTTTGCCACATTCTTGGCATTTGTAGGGTTTCTCTCCAGAGTGAATTCTTGGATGTACAGAAAGGTGTGAGCACTGTTTAAAGGCTTTGCCACATTCTTGACATTTGCAGGGTTTCTCTGCAGAATGAATTCTTTGGTGTACAGAAAGATTTGAGTGTGGGATTTGCCACATTCTTGACATTTGTAGGGTTTCCCTCTAGAGTGAATTATTTTATGTTTAGTAAGAGTTGAACTAAACTAACTTTAAAGGCTTTTCCACATTATTCACATTTGTAGGGTTTCTCTCCAGAGTGAATTCTTTGATGTCTAGTAAGGGAAGAATTGTAACAAAAGGCTTTGCCACATTCTTGACATGTGTAGGGTTTCTCTCCAAAGTGAATTATTTGATGTACAGAAAGACTTGAGGAGTGGTTAAAGGTTTTGCCACACTGTTGACATTTGTAGAGTTTCTGTCCAGAGTGAATTCTTCTATGTACAGAAAGATGTGAGTGCCAGTTAAAAGCTTTTTCACATTCTTTATATTTGTAGGATTTCTCTCAGAGTGAATTCTTTGATGTACAGAAAGGCTTGAGGAGTGCCTAAAGGTTTTGCCACACTGTTGACATTTGTAGAGTTTCTCTCCAAAGTGAATTCTTTGATGTACAGAAAGGCTTAAGGAGAGGTTAAAGGTTTTGCCACACTGTTGACGTTTGTAGGGTTTCTCTCCAGAGTGAATTCTTTGATGTCTAGTAAAGGATGAACTATCATTAAAGGCTTTGCCATATTCTTGACATTTGTAGAGTTTCTTTCCAGAGTGAATTCTTTGATGTACAGAAAGGTGTGATTACTGTTTAAAGGATTTGCCACATTCTTGACATTTGTAGAGTTTCTCTGCAGAATGAATTCTTTGATGTACAGAAAGAGTTGAGTGATGGGTAAAGGCTTTGCCACATTCTTGACATTTGTAGGGTTTCTCTCCAGAGTGAATTCTTTGATGTATAGAAAGGTATGAGAGCAACTTAAAGACTTTGCCACATTCTTGACATTTGTAGGGTTTCTCTACAGAATGAATTCTTTGATACAAAGAAAGTTGTGAGTGCTGGTTAAAAGCTTTTCCACATTCTTGACATTTGTAGGATTTCTCTTTGGAGTGAACTCTTTTATGTTTAGTAAAGGATGAACAATTACAAAAGGCTTTGCCACACTCTTGACATTTGTAGGGTTTCTCTCCAGAGTGAATTCTTCGATGTACAGAAAGGTGTGATTACTTTTTAAAGGATTTGCCACACTGTTGACATTTGTAGGGTTTCTCTCCAGAGTGAATTCTTTGATGTCTACACAGGACTGAGTGCCTGATAAAGGCTTTGCCACATTCTTGATATTTGTAAGGTTTTTCTACAGAATGAATTCTTTGATGTCTAGAGAGGAGTGACTGCTTGATAAAGGCTTTGCCACATTCTTGACATTTGTATGGTTTCCCTCCAGAATGAAGTACTTTATGTACAGAAAGGCTTGAGTAATGTTTAAAGGCATTACCACAGTCTTGACATTTGTAGCATTTCTCTCTGAAGTGAATTCTTTTATGGCCATATGTGTATGAGTACTGCTTGGTAAGTTTGTCACATTCCTTACATTTGTGAGGTTTTTCTCCAGTATTCAAAATCTTATGGTTACAATACTTTGATCTGTG